GACTTTCAGTTTTCTCTAAGATTTGACAAATTTTTAATTTTGCGTAAACCTAATTTTGTACCAATATTTTTAATTGCTTTTTGTTTTAAGTTTGTKAGTCTTATGTTTTCTTGTAAATTATTTAGACATAATTTCTAATTAAAAAAAAAAGTTTACAATTTTCTACAAGATGTACCAAGTTTCGGTATAAAAAAAGTTAACTTTTCAAGTACACGTTTTTAGTGATATTGATTTTACAAGAAATATTTTTGAAGGGATATCGGTTTGTAAATTGTAAATTTGTAAATTTTTAAGGAAAGAAAAAGAGACAAATTTTTTAAGTGAAATTATAATTGCAGTTGGTAATATACAAGAAAAATATTTAGATAAGTTTATAAAACTGAAAAACCTGTTCTATGTAAATATTTTTTTATTTATTGAGTAGTGTGGTAAATGAGACTCGGTTTACGAAAATGATATTTATTTCCTCATATGTTACAATTATTAAATAGGTATTTGCATGCACGATACTCTAACCTGTCGATACGTAATTTAAAATACAACAACTTGATCATAACTCATCTTAACCTAATATTTACACGAACCGAAACAACCTGACCGCAACTCAAATCTCGGAACCTTCCGTCGGTATTTGCACTAAATGTAAACCCCAAACAATATACATTTATACAGAACAGCAACAATTGACTAGATAAAACCCCCCTTCCCTCTCTCAAGCCACCTCCAAGTCGCTCGAATCCTCGTCGCTGAAATTCGGCGGTTGCAGGAGTCTCTGCTGCTCCACACTCCTGCAAACATCCTCCTCCTGAATCTTCCTCATCCTCTCCTGCTCTTCGCGCTTCTGCTTCCGCCACTTGGCCCGTCGGTTTTTGAACCAGACCTGCAAATTAACAAGAACAATCAATTTAATTATCCGAGACGCCACTTTCAGATATTCATAAGCGCCGAAACCGAGGAGTAGAGGCCGTAATACAATTATGATATTTGCATCAGAATAATTCCGGTTAAGAGCCGCTTTTTGCACGAACAATGGGAACAAAGCGAGCTTTTTATTCCGAGAGCCAATTGAATTAACAAAAAAATTAAAAGAAGTTTTACACAGCCGGCCGGACGTTCGGGCGAGTTTTTACACAAAAAATCGCGCTTATTCAAGAAAACTAATGGAATTTTAGAGTTACACCGAGTGCATTTGCACACGCCAAACAAGAGTTTACCAATTTAACACAGAATTTATTCCCAATGTTGGCTCGCGAAAATGAAAAGTTTGCTCAAAACCTGCGCTTGAAATGTTCCAATTAATCACAGTTTCTTTTGAATTTTTCTAATGTAATAGTTGAAAAGAAAAATCGAGTAACAAAAGTAGTTTTCTTAAAAATAGATAGATTTGTCTTTTTTTTTCTCTAAAATTTAACCCTTTTAAAGTAGAGTGAAAAATTAAAATAATAGGAAACTGAAGTTTTCTTATAAGTTTTAAAAACTAAGATATTTTACATTTCTGTTACACTATTTACAACTCAATTTAGTTTTTCTAAAAAATATTGTTAGTGTCGGTTAATAAATAAGTTAAAGTTTATAAAGAGTCGAAATACAGCTACATTTCTAAGTCAACTAGAGACTGAGAAACTAGTTAAAACTATAATTTCAATCGTGATACGTAGTTAGGTTTTTAGTTAAATTAAGAACTAAGTTTAAAAAGCAAAAAAACTGAAACCATTAGTTTTAAAAAGTGAATTAGCTAAACTAGACTAAAAAACTAATTGAAACTAGTTTCCACTGAATTCATTCAAACTAGATAATTAGGTTTTTAAGCAAACTACGAACTAAGGGTAGAAATGAAGCAAAAGGAATCCACTAGTTTTAAAAATTTATTGTTGGAACTAGTAATGCACATATTCAAAAGCTATACTTTTGTAGTTCAAAGTTTTAGAAAACTAGTTTGAACTAGTTATTGGTTTTAGAGTAGTTTTAACTAAAAAAAAAAACGTTTTTCCTATAGCAGATGTAAACTAAATTGCTTTCTAAAATAAAATTCAATTTTATCGTCTTATATAATAAATAACTATTCTACTCTCAAACTTTGCTATAGAATATAATATTATACATGACGATAAGGTTTGTTTATCTACTCGTGAAATAAGTCTACTCGTAACTTCGTCACTCGTGAACTTAACTTTTCCACTCGTAGATAAACAATCTCTTTATCGTCTGGTATAATAAATAACTATTTTCTTGTTGATTTTTGCATACAAATTTTAAATAAAACGGTTTTAACTACATTTTTTCTTTTTTCTAATGATTTTGTATGTGAAACTCAAAGCTAAAACTTGTTTTAACTTGTTATTCAAGTTATTTGCGGTAAAATAGCTAAAACTAATGTAATTTATGTAATAATCATTTATCTTTTTAATTCTTAACAGCTTTAGTTAGAAATTTAAGTAACAATAGCAGAAAAGCAATTTCAAGTTGTTACAAAAGTGTTTACAAATAAACTGAATTACTTTGATTCAAATTCTTACTTTTTATAAATATTTTCCTATTACTCTTGTTTTGCTAATCAATTTTATAACACTTTTCTCCAAAAATCTAAACTGGTTAAGAAACTGGTTCTTTATAAATAATTAGGTATTTTATTTTCTGAATCAGAAAATTAAAGTTTAGTACTTTTTCACTTGTAATTATAAAAAAATCTGGAACTATTGGACATGGACTGTACCATTTCAACCTTTTAAAAAGTAACTAAGTAACTAGTTTTATAACCATACTAATAATAATTTTATAGTAACATAGTTGAACGTTTACAAAAAAGTTAATTTAAAGTTTAATTAACTGGAACTACTTTTCAAAAAATGTGTTTAACAGCATTTCTGATCAAAGTTGCTTGTGAGTTTATTTAAATTGGCAACATTAAAGACTCCAAATGTCAATTTTCATATTCTTAATTATTCTGTCTCAGAGGTCACCATTGATAAAATGTGGAATTTGCCAAACTTTGAGTTGGCTACATCAAATAATGTAGACAGAAGATATTTTAAATTAAATTGGCAACATTAAAATGTTTGCCACTTTTCACGTCTTCTGTCTCAGGCAATAATAAAGCAATGTGGAAACAGAAGATACGAGATGTGCCAATTGTTCGATATTGCCAACTTAATTTCTAAGTTACTTAATTGAGAACATGGTATGGTACAAAAAATGAAAGCAAAATTTTTTAGAAGTTTGATGAATTTTTGACTTCAAAAACTAATTTAAATTAGTGATGTAGAAGACGTGGGATCTGCCAATTATTATATCTTTTGTCTCAGTAAGTCAGTATTTTGAGTTGGCAACATTAATGTAGACAAAAGATGAGATTTGACACTTTTCTTTTGTCTCAGTACTTTGAGTTGGCAACATTAAATAATGTAGGCAGAAGATATGAGATGTGTCATTTAAAATTAAGTTGACAACATTAAAAAACCGAAAGAAATGAGGTCTGCCAATTTTCTGTTTCATCGAATAATGTGGCAGTAGAAATTGTGGAATATCTTTTGTCTCAGAACTCTTGAGTTAATGGCAACATTAACAATATGCAAGTTTTCACATCCACAAGAAATGATCAGATTTTATTATTTGTATGAAGCAAAAAAAAGGCAAGACTAGTTTGAAATAGTTTTTTGATAATTTTTTTTAAATTTAATCGAGTTTTTGTCTCTTTCAATGTTGCCAACTTAATTTAGAAGTCATTTAATTGAGCGTACAAAAGAAATGTTCAGATTTTATTATTTATATGAATGTAGTAGCAGCAAAAAGAAGGCAAAGTTTAAACAGTTTGGTTAATTTTTGTCTTTGAAAATTGGTAATATGAAGAATTTTAAGCTAGTTTGAAATAGTTTTTTTTTTAAATTTAGTCGAGTTTTTGTCTCTGTGGTAATTTTAGTGGAGGCAAGTGCCGTTATCGACCGGAATCGGGGTTCGATTATCCGTCACTTTTTAAGATAAATAGAGGCGGTCGTCGTTTCGGTTCTCGAGATGGAGTTAAAGCCCCCATAATACAGAGGGTTAGGACTAACAATAACATATTTAATAATCCCTCCATTGTTCGACTGCAAATGCCGGCTAAATCCACATCCAATACCTCATATCATCGCATTAATAAATACAATCACTTCTCTGAAATAATTTGAATGTTTGTTTTAGGTTAACGTGAGTACACACACTCGGTTGCTTTTTCCAGAGGCGTCGTCGGCGGCGTCGCGGCGTCCCTTTCGGAAATAATCAGGTAATTGGTTTAGACACGCCTAAATATTGCAAAATCGCGTCGATTTTTTGCTCGCTTTTCGGCCGGCAATAATCCATCGATGGCCACAATGCGCTTCATTATTTACCATTTCCCAGCATCGCTCTAATTCAATTAAGTTAGCTGTTTTCCCATTCGCTGTTTAGTCAGAGAGACGGTTTCAGAGCACTCGTTCCGCAGTCAGATTATTCTATTACCGCGTATCAACATCGGGGAGGGCTAATTTTGTTTAGTCTCAAAACATTTCATTGTTTCAAGTGGATCAAAAATTCAACGGAAGGTTAATTACAGTTACATTGATCGTAACCGGGGGCGAACTCAACCACAACGAGTATTATGTATATAAGCGAAAAAGAAACTCGTAGACTGTCAGTTTGATCGTTTCATGGAGAAATTTTAATCCATAAAAAAATGAGATTTTTTTCGAGTTTCAACGGCTTTAGTTTGATGTTTTCAATGCAAATCGGTCCTTTAGGCTTTTTCGCGCCGAATATTTAATGTGGAACAACAAACGAGACGGAGGAGCATCTGGAATGACCCCCGCTTTGCCAATTTCTCCAAAATATCAAAAATATTAAAAATCGCTTGAACATTTTTTGTTTTATTTTGGTTCAACTGACCAAAGTTTTCTGTTTTATGCCATTTGGCCAAAGTCCGCGGCCACTTATTTGATGGAAAATTTGATTCAAGAATTTTTTGTATTAGATTGAAGATTTGTAATTGCATATAAGTAAAACAAATAAAAGTTTTTTTGTTATTTTAATCAATCAACGAATTGTATTGTTTTTGTTATAATAAAAACCTACCTATTGTTACCTACGTATTCTTTTATTGTTTCTCCTTGTCAAATGGCCTAAACATATGAAAAAATAACACAAATTATTAATTTCTGATAAATATATTTTTATCTCAATCACAGCTATTAAAGTTGAAACTGAAAAAACTAAGTCAAAGACAGTGACAAAAAAAATAAAATTGATATTGATTTGGTACTCATTTCAAATTTTGTCTCTATTCAGAATTTCTGTTGGAAAAATTTTTGTATACCTATAGGAAAACCCGAGAATTCAAGAGACAATCAAAGTTAACTCGCCAAACATGATCTTTATTATTATAAAGAAATTTAGAAAAATAATAAAATCATAAATAATTTTTTTTCTTTTATTATAATTTTTTAATTTTTTTTTTTAGAATATACTGAAATTGTGTTTTTCTAATTTTTTAAATTTTGTCACTATAAAAAAATCAATTGACGGTGACATGATTGTGCGTACTCAAAATTCGAAATACAGTATGAAAAAATGAATAGTACAGTTGCGGACACGGAATTTTGAACATGAAATTTGTCATTTCAAAAAATGTCAATGTACCCAAATCCTACCTAAGTTTTTGTTGAAATTTATTTTTGGCGTCGATTTTTCGAAACAATAATGCAGTAAGTTCAATAAATTATTTTGATTTGTTGTAATTTTTTTCTCTAGCTCTCAGGATAAATATTAGAAAAACCGAAAGTGGGCTTAGTTGCATAAGGCCCATTTTACATTTTTATGTTAGTCGAATACAAATCGTCCAAAATTCCCTGGCCGCAATTGTACCAAAAAGTG